TTTGCAAAGGAACCATTAGGAAAGGGATAGATAATAAGACATAAAATGTTATAATGCCTCTACATAAATCCATGCCCATATCTTGAATACCGCATTTAGATATGGTCGCCCTAGCTCAAAAAATATATATAGGAATTGGAAAAGGTACAAAGGAGGGCAACAAAAATTATTAGGGGTATGGAATGGCTGCCGTATGAAGAGAGATTAATAAGACTGGGACTTTTCAGCTTGGAAAAGAGATGATTAAGTGGGGGGATATGATAGAGGTCTATAAAATCATGACTGGTTTGGAGAATGTAGATAAGGAAGTGTTGTTTACTCCTTCTAATAACACAAGAACTAGGGATCACCAAATGAAATTAATAGGCAGCAGGTTTAAAACAAACAAAAGGAAGTATTTCTTCACCCACCGCACAGTCAATCTGTGGAACTCTTTGCCAAGGGATGTTGTGAAGGCCAAGACTATAACAGGATTCAAAAAAGAACTAGATAAGTTCATGGAGGATAGGTCCATCAATGACTATTGGCCAGGATGGGCAAGGATGCAACACCATGTACTGAGTGTCCCCAGCCACTGTTTGCCAGAAACTGGGACTGGATGACAGGTACCGATGATTGACTGTTCTGTTCATTCCCTCTGAAACACCAGACATTGACCACTGCCGGAAGACAGGATACTGGGCTAGCTGTACCTTTGCGGCGGATATTGAACTCTGTTGGAGCTGGGGGTGAACACAGGTGATGTTTTGTACTATACATACTACACTATTAAGTGGGAAGTAGGTTGAGGAAACAAATGAACAAAGTGTAATTTTATTTATTTATTTTTACTATTTTGATCATCAGGGTAAACTCCTTTACAGATATTTTTACTGCATTTTATATTACGAGAGAGAAAATAATTCTGGCCTAATGTGAAGAAAAATTTGCCCCATAGTACATAAGCTGTATTACATGCATTGGGTATAATATATGCATTTATATATTTGTGATTCTGGCCTAAGGTGAAGAAATCACAAATATATAAATGCATACGTTACACCCAATGCATGTAATACAGCTTATGTACTATGGGACAAATTCTCGGTTTCACAAAGATTGTGGTGGGGACAGAATCTTCCCCTCTCTACCCTACACTGTGTAGTGGCACTTGAGCCATTCCATGGTTGGCATTGTTGCAGTACTACTTTGCCTTCCTATCTCAAAGAGGCGCATAGCCAATAAAGCTGCTTAAACTGCAGATTCAGCACAGTATTGCCCAACCCCAAGTGTTCAATAATCCCCAATCAGGCCCCCAAAATCATGAGATTTGATTAAAATCCACAAGATTTTAAAAAAAGTAATTTTCTTTTTTTTGGCGGGGGGAGAAGAAGTATTTGCCTTCTGTCTTTTGAGTCTCTAGGATTCAGGTTTCAATCTTTTCTCTCTGCAAACAGGAGGGAAAGAAACTTATTCTCTTTTTTTAAATGATAGCTGAAATTCTCACGATCACATGACTTTAGGGGCTTTAAGAAAAACACTGTATAGTATACTGTAAGAGTTGGCAAAATTGCCATCAGCTTTTCCTTGGCCTGCCATTGACTTTCAAACTTTCCTTGCATGACACCTAGCATTGCCACGTGTCCGGTTTTCGCCCGGTTGAAAAGGGACCCTGGCGGCTCCGGTCAGCACGGCTGATTGGGCCATTAAAAGTCTGGTTTGCGGCGCAGGCAGGCTCCCTACCCAGCTCCGTGCAACTCCCAGGAAGCTGCCAGCCTCTCCCTCTCGCTCCGAGGCATAGGGGCAGCTTTGGAGGCTCTGCGCACTGCCCTCCCTGCCCCCAGTGCCAGCTCAGCAGCTCCCATGGGCCAGGAACCACAGCCAATGGAAGCTGAGGGGCGGCACCTACAGCACGCAGGGCCATGTGATCGTGCCTCCGCCTAGGTGCTGGAGGGAGATTTTGCTGCTTCCCGGGAGCTGCCTGAGGTAAGTGCTGCCCGGTGCCCACACCCCTTTCCGCACCCTACTTCCCTGTCTCAGCCTGGAGCCTCCTCCTGCACCCCAACCCCTCCCCCAGAGCCCACACCCCTAGCCAGAACCCTCACCCCCCCCACACCCCAACCCCCTGCCCCAGCCCAGATCCCCCTCCCGCACCCTGAACCCCTCATTTCTGGCCCCACCCTGGAGCCCACACCCCCAGCCCAGAGCCCATACCCCCTCCCACACCCCAACCCCCTGCCTCAGCCTGGAGCCCCACCCCTGCACCCCAATCCCCACTTGGAGCCCTCTCCTGCACCCCAAACCCCTCATCCCTGGCCCTGCCCCAGAGCCGCACCCCCCAGCCAGAGCCCTCATCCTCTCCCACACCTCAACCCCTTGCCCCAGCCCAGTGAAAATGAGCGAGTGAGCAAGGGTGGGTGAGAATGAGCAACGGAGGGAGTGGGGATGGAATGAGTGGGGGGCATGAGCACAGAGAAGGGAGAGACAAGGGCGGAGCAAGGGTGTTCAGTTCTGCAAAAAGAAAGTTGGCAACCCTAATGACACCTCATGCTGGTGCAGAAGGAGCTATCACAGAATGCAAGTGCAAGATGACCAGACTTACACTATCCTGCTTTTTACACCTTTGAATTAAATGGGAGTTTTGTCATTCACTTCAACTAGCACAGGAGCAAGCCCTATCTGAAAGGTGGACAGTCCGTTTGTGTTTACTACACGTCCGCACTAAAAGGGTTTGTCTACACTAACATTTAGGTCACGGTAAGCTAGGGTGTGAATCTATCCCTCACTAGCCTGCTGCACACTAATGGTCTGTGTAACCCTGCTGATGTGCACTAACAGTCCTTAGTGCACTTTAATCTACTTGCATTTCAAAGCGGGGTAGATCAAAGCACACTGAGGAACTGTTAGTGCGTGTCTGCAGGGTCCACACAGTGGGCGCACAGCAAGCTAATGCATGGTAGATTCACACCCCAGCTTTCAGCAAAGTAAGCATTTGTGTAGACAAGCCCATAGAGTTGCTCTGCATAAGTAGTTATTATGAATGCCTAGTTTCCTCTTTCAAGAAGTTTAACACAATGATCCTTCTTTATAAAACACATCCGTTCTACAAAGGTCTAGTGCACCTTGAGTTCCAATTTCATTAAAGTTCTTTATAAACTCTGAGTAAAAATTTCAGAAGTGCCTAAAATGACTTAGGAGTCTAAGTTCCATTGGAAGTCTTTCCATTGAATATCAATAGGACCTAGACACTTCTGAAAATGTGCATTCTCTGTCTTCATAGCATGCACCTTGCTATGAATGACATGCAAAACACTGGGCTACTAGGAATAACCCAGCAAGAGAGCAACATATGTCTTGGTCAGTTTACTTTAAGATATCAGAAATGACTGGCACACATTACAGACCAATAACGTGCCACATTTTGAAAAAAAATCAAGCCCATTTTAAGTAGAGATTTTCAAAAAGCATCTAAAGGATTTAGAAGCTCAAGTCCCACTGAAAGTAGATTGGACTCCTAAATTGCCTAGTCACTTTTTAAAACTCTCCCCATGAAAGTTCTCCAACCACTCCCCCTCCATCCATCCCCGCAGTCCCCGCCACCACACACAGTTCCACCCCCTCCTCCCCCGACACAAGAACATCTCATTCTTGGCTAAGAAACCTTAAATACCAAGTTTCAGTTCAAAGCAGTTCCCCCCACAAACCCACAGCAGCTTACACCCTTAAAAAAAAACAGAATTTAAAATTAACTCCTGAAGATGGGAGGCTCTAATGAACACACTGACACCATCTTAACTACAGCATTGTGAATGGTGACACTATAATATATATGTATACACACTTGAAAGAAAAAAGGCCCCTTGAATTTATGTTGCATATCATTTTCCAGTAAAAGTCAGAGGTCAGAAGGTTACCAGTTTCTGCCTCAGCTCTGCAACAGTTTACTATTCCAGGCCCCATTTTTACTAGGCTATACTTGTGATGAAGTCAGCAACTTTTCTTTAAACAGTAAAGTGTCTCAAATACTTAAAATTCTATAAAGAGAGGTTATTCACAATGTAAGATACATCCACGTGTATAAAAAAATAAAATATACTGTTTTAGTTTAAAAACTAATCTTGCTAAATGTAGACTTTGCAATTCTAATCAGTATTGTTCAACCTTTTTTGGAAACATAATTCCTTTGTTGTCTAACAGCACTTGAATGAAACAGGATCATAAAACCAGATTTAAAAGTATATACCTATTGTGGGTTCAGAGTCAACTTCAATAAAACACTCTCTTTTATATTCAGATTAAGGATTCTTTTAAAATTTTAATTGCATTAAATTAACACAAAATCCACTGCAGTTCGTCTCTTCAGAAAGAAGTATGAAGCATTTCAACATGCAGCTTTTATTTTTAAGTCATCTGTTTTTAAAATGTTGAATTTAGAAGACAGTGTTAATTATTTGTCGTATGTACTACTTCTAAAGCATGTAACACAAACTAGGTTCATACTATTTCTGTTAAGTCAATTACTCCAGTTGGTTTGGCTCTCCAACAAACCATTTCTGCATTCAAATAAATTGGCATAGAGGGAGGAAACAGTACTGATTGTAAGATTTAGTGCAATGTGCAGGCAAACTTTTATATTTATATGCACAAAAGTTTCAATAGCATCTTTAAAATATTAACATTCAATTCTGCAACCTTAATTATGTTTGCTTTTGAAGATTTCTTCTTTTAACCATTCTGATGTCAAAAGGCTCTAGTTGCTTATTTTAATAAAACATACTGCAAATTTGGTACATATGTTATTCTAACGTGTGCCTGTTGGCAGGGTTTAAGAAATAAACGTGCAAACTCCTTTGACTGCCTAAAGACGGGGGAAAATGAGTCAATAAAAAGGAAAAGAATGACAATGCCAGGCACAAAGCTCTAATGTCTCAACACATTTCAAAAAGACATAGTGACCAATCTGCACACGCTGATCACTTATTCTTTACCAGAAGACAAAGAAATGAAGGTTACTTTCCTACCTTGTTCACTGCTGTTGTCGCCACTGTGTGATGTATGCCCCCCACTGGAGGGCCCTGGTGTTCCTCCAGAACGCGTGGATGCTGTGTCATCATGATCTCTGTTCCAGGAAGG